TTCCCCAAAATATTGACAGGGTGCCTTCTTTTTATCACCTTCACACCTGACACTACAACTCACACGAAGGGGCTTCAGGAGGCTAATGAAAACCAGGCAACAGGAGAAACCAAAGGCTAACCCCTGAAGAATGCCACAGGGGGTCTAGGGCAAAGGAAAAGACATAGAGTGTGAAAAGCACCTCCCAGACGCTGCCCCTTTCTCACACTCTACCTATAGTTGGCACTCGATGATTTTCTTGTGCCTTCTGCTAGCCAGGCACTATGTCTTGCTGTACATCTTAGTCTAGCTAGTTTTCCTTCTTTTCCAGACATGGCATGTCATGTTGGGTAGCGTCATTTCAACAGCTTGGTCATCCAACTGACATGGATGCTTCATTCTCCTTTGTTACTAAGTCTTTGCCTTTCCAGGAGCATCCACACAGAATCTGCCAGGATGCCATCAGACTAGGCTAGTGTCTTGGGCTCAGCTTAATGTTCCCTCAGCCTGACATATTGGATCACAGCATGTTGGACAGAAATGTTGAAAGGTTGAGGAGAGAGCTGTAAGGGAATAGTGCCTGGAATAAATATATACAAACATTTTAGAACTACCACAGAGACCTAGATATTCATCAAAGCTTTTTAAAAGGAAAATATTGTGAAGAATCTTCAAAATACGAGGAGGTGAGTAAATACATGTTGCAGGTGCAATAAACGAGTGACTTAGGAAATCAGAACACAGACTGTCATGCCAGATTGCCTGGACTTTGTGACTTATACTACCTATGTGACCTTGAACAACCTCAGTTTCCCTGTCTGAAAAGTGCAGATAATGATGATGATAATAATGATAGTACTTGCCTCACAGGGTTGTTCTGAGGATTGAAAGCATTATGCAACAGGCTCTTAGATCATCATCTTTTTTTTTTTTTGAGACGGAGTTTCGCTCTTGTTACCCAGGCTGGAGTGCAATGGCGCGATCTCGGCTCACCGCAACCTCCGCCTCCTGGGTTCAGGCAATTCTCCTGCCTCAGCCTCCCTAGCAGCTGGGATTACAGGCACGCACCGCCGTGCCCAGCTAATTTTTTGTAATTTTAGTAGAGACGGGGTCTCGATCTCTTGACCTCGTGATCCACCCGCCTCAGCCTTCCAAAGTGCTGGGATTGCAGGCTTGAGCCACCGCGCCCGGCCAGATCATCATCTTTTATCCAATACATGCTATAAGAAGTGTGAGCTATTATTATTATTACTTGCTTACAGCAATAAACCCGAGAGGTGTATTAGCATCAGCAACTTTCCTACAGAGCCAAAGAATATAGAAATGCCAGTACAGACAGGGAGAATTCTGATTATTTTATTTTATTTTTGAGACAGAATCTTACTCTGTCGCCCAGTCTGGAGTGCAGTGGTGTGATCTTGGCTCTCTGCAACCTGTGCCTCCTGGGTTCAAGCAATTCTCCTGCCTCAGCTTCCCAAGTAGCTGGGACTACAGGTGCATGCCACCACGCTGGGCTAATTCTTTGTATTTTAGTAGAGATGGGGTTTCACCATGTTGCCCAGGCTGGTCTCAAACTTGAGCTCAGTCAATCTGCCTGCCTTGGCCTCCCAAAGTGCTGGGATTACAGGTGTGAGCCACTGCACCTGGCCCTGATTATTTCTTTATACTGTATGTCCTTAAGTACAGTTCTAAAAGAAAATACTAGCACATAGAATTTAGAAGTTTATTAAAATGCAAAAATCATAGGAATGCAAGGATGGCTTGCTATTATGAAATATATTATTATAATTTACTATATTAATAGATAATGGAAGAAAAACCCCATAATTACATTTTTGTGACCCAAAGAGCTTTTTTGTCAAAAATTTACAATTATTTCTTCATTTTAAAAGTTTCAACTAGCAATAGATTCTGGACACAATAAATTAACACATAAACATGTATGCACATATTAATTGAAAAACCATCATGATGCTAAATGTCCAAATGCTAAAACCATTTTTTTCCATTATTAAAGATATAACTGATCACCAGGGAAACTATTTTTCAATACTGTTGTAGGATACTAGCCAATGCAATCAGATAGGAGGAAAAAAAGCCATAAATATGGGGAGAAAATTATTTGCATATTGTATAATTATCTACCTATAAAATCCATAAAAATCAATTGAAAAGCTGTTGGAAACAATATGACTAAGTAAAGTACCCAGTTACAAAGTTACTTATACAAAAATTAACAGGCTTTTTCCATACACAAGTATAATGGGATGAAATTGGTCAATTTCAAGTCTGATTGGCTGGGGGATTTTTTTATCTTCTGCAAACCAGACCTCCTCTGCCTCTGAGCAGTGGTCTGTAACAGGATGAATTTCTGTTGGATCAACTGAAGTGGTGGCTTGGGCAGCGAGGCAATTCTTTATCAAGACATACCTTTTTGTGGCTTCTAATTACCTGCTGGCAGGAACTAAAAGTGTGTCTGTTGTATGCATGCCATGTGTGTCAAATTAGAGTCTTTGAAGCTGTTCAAATAAAGAGGATTAGTCATAGTTCTAGGGAGATATAAAGACTAAGCCAAAAGAAGCAGAGTTTATCTGGCTTCACGCTTCACCCATCTGTTAACCCGGCTGAGACACATTTTCTGTAGCATTAGTATTTTGTGCACTGTTTTTCTTGATATAGTCACAGATTTAATTGATTCTTTATGGTAATAGACCTCTTGTATCCATAAAAGGAACATATTCCATCATTATCTTAGTATCACATCCAATACAGAGTGGCAGTGCAATTGGAAAGTTATTTCTCAGACCACTAAATTTGTACATAAACATTAAACACCATATATTCCTTTTAAGCTTACTTTTGATCTGCTGTCAACCCTAAGAAGTTGCTTTATTACGATTAACTCTGTATAACAGTTAATTTTTTCCTCTAAAATGTGTTTTAAAGTCCGAAGCTGTATTTGACATTATTTTTGAAGCTATGTGATTTATTCTTTTTTATTGTCCACTGTCAAATATACATATTTGAAGATATGTATGATAGTACCATTTTCAAGTGCTAGCTAGTTTAAGGACCACAGAGCATCTAAGTGATATAAAGCTTCACCCATAAACCCCAAGCCCCTAGGACTGTAGGCCCTCATATATTATCCTTAATATCAGAGGAATTCTGTTTATAACATATATGCTGAGTTCAAGACCAGCCTGAGCAACATGACAAAACCCCACCTCTATGAAAAAATACAAAAATCAGCAGGGTGTGGTGGCGCACCTGTAGTCCCAGCTACTTGGGGGCCTGAGATGGGAGGATAACCTGAGCCCTGGGAGGTCACGGCTACAGTGAGCCATGATTGTGCCACTGCACTCCACTCCAGCCTGGGTAACAGAGTGAGACCCTGCCTCAGAAAAAAAGAAAAAAAAAGGAGAAAAGCAGTCAGTTTTATTCCTGATTTATACAGAAGACATTGAGCGCTGTGCCGCGTTGCCTCTTTGACCTCCCTGGGCCAAAAATGAAGACATTGGATGAGGGTCCAGGGTCTCTTTCAACCATGCACTTCTGTGACTCTAGGCAGGGTGCCAACCATCTTGATTTGCCTGGGACTTGGCAAATCCAGTTTCTTGGACAAGGACTTTCAGTACTAAAACCGGGAGAGTCAGAGAAAACTAGGATGGTTGCTCACCCTAACTCCAGAATCCTTCTGTCTTTATACTGTCAGCTTCCCTGATATGCCTCTGAATACCTAAGATTGGACATAATCCTGCAAAAGAATTCAAACATCAAGTTAGCAAACACAGCTGCTGCGGTGTGGCCCCTCCACTTCCTCATTCATTCCTTCTTCTGCCTTTGCAGTTTCCTACCTGAGGGCTGTTTTGCGAAACTGTTTTTCATCATCCATTGCTGGGGTTTTAGTTTTGGTAGCTAGCCAGAGAGCAGCCAGTCAGCCATCTCAGCAGACTATGGAACACTCACAGAGATGTTCTTCTCTGCAAGGGTTGATGTCTCTGTTTACCTTGGGAAGAAAGCAGAATGTCTGCAATCTCACCACCTCTAGTCTCTCTAGTGAATGTAAAGGCAAGTTCCTTCTCCCACTCCTCCTCTCCTCTTCAGTTTTTAGTCTCCTTCTCATTATTATCATTAATACCAAAAGGCAGTCACCTCTAGGGGAACGACAACCAAGTGAGAAGCTCTCAGAGCATGATGTTTTGATGCTGAGCGGAGGCTGCACACCTTGCGACTGCTCCCTGGTGGGAAGATGGGCTCTGCCAGCCCCAGCTGAGATATCACTTAACAGTGTGGGCTCTTCAGGGGCAGGGCCTGCTCAACATGTTTACAAGATGGGTAGCTATTAGCAACATCTTACAGCTCAGCTAATTAACCGGGAGAGTGCCTGATGAAGCCCAGCTCTAAAGAGGACCAAATCACATCAGTGTTTGGGCTTTAAATTGATATCAAAAAATAACTCACCACAGGTGTGTGTTTTGAGTCTCACCTTCCCGCAGCAGGTTGGTTGGTTGGTATGCTTCAGCTACAGCAGATCGCAAGGTGGCCCAAACAGCAGGGTTATGAGTTTATTAAGGTCATTTACATTGGTTACATGTAGCCATTATTTTAGCTCAGTGGTTAAGATCGTACACGATCACTGATATGGTTTGAAGCTGTGTCTGCACCCAATCTCATGTCAAATTGTAATCCCCACTGCTGGAGGTGTGGCCTGGTGGGACGTGACTGGATCATGGGTGCTCATGAATTCTCATAAATGGTTTAGCACCAGCCCCAGGATGCTGTCCTCAGGATAGTGAGTTCTAGTGGGATCCACTTGTTTAAACGTGTGCAGCACCTCCCCTCTCTCTCGTTCCTACTCCAGTGTGTAATCCACCTGCTTTCCACCACCCACCATCATTAGAAGTTTTCTGAGGCCTCTGCAGAAACTGACAGATGCCAGCATCATGTTTCCTGTGAGCCAGTCAAAACTTTTTTCTTTGTAAATTATCCAGTCTCTGGTGTTTTTTTTTTTTTTTAATAGGAAGTAGGATTTACTGGTGAGTATTAAGAGGGGGCAGCACTGTGGAAGCCCTCATGAGTGTAGGGCCCGCCACTTGTCCAGAGGGCCACACCTGGGGATGTACTTGACCCCACAGCCATCTGGGATGAGCCACTTCTCAGCCACCGTGTCTTCAAAGTCATCAGCATTGAACTCGGTGAAGCCCCACTTCTTTGAGATGTGAATCTTCTGGTGGCCAGGGAACTTGAACTTGGCCCTGCACAGGGGCTCAATCACGTGCTCCTTGTTCTGCAGCTTGGTGCAGAGGGACATAATATCTATGGTGCCATGTGAACACTGGCCACAGTGCCCTGGGGCCTTCCAGAGGCACCTCGCACACCTGTTTGGAGCCTACACTGGGGCAGGTGCGAGGTCAGAGACATGAACATACATCTGAAAGGCTGGTCACCAAGGTCCCTTAGAGCAACCCATAAAAGAAACAGGCTGCGTACACTACCAAGGAAGCTGCTGTTTGCAGCCACTGCACACTGGGCCCCCATGAGGAAAGAAACTTGGTCAGCTTAACTGGCTGCAGATCAGGTATTTCTTCATAGCAATGTGAGCACAGACTAATTACGTGGCCAACCCCCGTGAGTCCTGTACCAGAAGCCACCTGGTCCTGCCACTGCTAAGGACATGATCTAAGTGTTGCCTTGGATGAACTCGCTCTCCACTCTGTGGCACACGTGTTTTCCATTAAAATGGCCCTGTTATTCAGGCAGGAATGAAATACTTCTCTCACTTCTCTGGTGAAGTCTTTCCATGGTGAATTTTCTTAATCAGACCAGTAGATGAGTTCCATTTCTTATAAAATCTTCCTTTTACCAATAATCTCTTCAGCAGATAATGACCTTAGTGATTGTTGACACAACTTCCTCTATTTGAAGTTTTAAAGTTTTCCTTTGGTTAAGAAAAATAACTTGAAATTTTGAGGTCACTTCTATTGCTACTCGTGGGTTGAATTGTCCTGGCTACCTAGTGATGTATTGCTTTTTGCACACTGCTAGGAAGGAGGTTCCCAATGTTGAAGGTGTGGCCTGGTGGGAGGTGATTGGCTCATGAATTCTCATCAGTGGTTTAACACCACCCCTTCAATGCTGTCCTCAGGATAGTGAGTTCTGGTGAGATCTGGTTGTTTAAAAGTGCATAGCACTGGCCGGGCATGGTGGCTCACTCCTGTAATCCCAGTAGTTTGGGGGGCCGAGGCAGGTGGATCACTTGAGGTCAGGAGTTTGAATCCAGCCTGGCCAACATGGTGAGAACCCATCTCTGTTAAAAATACAAAAAAAAGTTAGCTGAGTGAGGTGGTAAGCGCTTATAATCCCAGCTATTTGGGAGGCTGAGGCAGGAGAATCACTTGAACCTGGGAGGTGGAGGTTGCAGTGAGCCAAGATCACACCGTTGCACTCCAGCCTGGTATACAAGAGCGAAACTCTGACTCAAAAAAACAAAAAACAAAAGATGTGTACAGCACCTTCCTCCTCTCTCTCCTGTTCCTACTCCAGCCATGTAACGTGCCTGCCTTCCACCATCATCACTGGAAGTTTTCTGAGGCTTCTACGTGGTAGAACTCATGTCTATTTTATGAAGGGTAAAATAGCACCCCTACGATACTGTATTATCCTACCAGAGTTTAATGAATTAGGGTGAAAACCAGTATCTCCCAACTCTCAAGGTAAAAGGCTGTGTTATTTCTGAAGTATTATCACTAGTATGATTTTTACAAAGGCATTTTGGTTCATTCTCAGTGCTGGTTGTTTGTTTTGAGACGGAGTCTTGCTCTGTCATCAGGCTGGAGTGTAGTGGCTCCACCTCGGCTCACCACAACCTCTGCCTTCCAGGTTCAAGTGATTCTCCTGCCTCAGTCTCCCAAGTAGCTGGGACTACAGGTGTGCACCACCACATCCAACTAATTTTTGTATTTTTAGTAGAGATGGGGCTTCACTATGTTGGCCAGGGTGGTCTCAATCTCTTGACCTTATGATCTACCCACCTTGGCCTCCCAAAATGGTGTGAGCCACTGAGCCCAGCCGTTATCAGTGCTGCTGAGGAGATTCCTGTATCCACTGGGAAGCTGACCAGGCACCATCTAAGACCCCTTTCAGGGTAGAAAACGTGTCAGCACCAGTGGCTACTCTTGGAGAGAAGGGAAAGGTTGGTAATGGGATCAGCTGACAAGACTTTCACTTTTATTTTTATCCCCTTCAGTAGATTTTGAAAAATGAAAGTCACATCTTGCTGTTGTATAACGATAGTAATATCTTTTATGTAATTTTACTTTTTGAGACAGAGTCTTGCTCTGTTGCCCAGGCTGGATTGCAGCGGTGCCAACTCAGCTCACTGCAACCTCTGCCTCCTGGGTTCAAGCAATTCTTGTGCCTCAGCCTCTCATGTATCTGGGATTACAAGCACCTGCCACCATGCCCAGCTAATTTTTAAAATTTTATTTTAGTAGAGGCTGGGTTTCACCACGTTGCCCAGGGTGATCTTGAACTCCTGAGCTCAAGTGATCCTTCTGCCTTGGCCTCCCAAAGTGCTGGGATTACAGGCATGAGCCACTGCACCCAGCCAATAATAATATCTTTATTCAGGCTGTAATTCAAATGTCCCCTTAGCTCTCTTAATTGTGTTTACCTCTGAGCAGAGATAGAAGTGGGCTAGGGACTTAGGGGTGCTCCCTAGGAGTGGCAGCACAGTGTGGTCAGAAGTGACAAAGGGTCACATACAAACCAGAGGGTGGGAGGTGACTTGTGGCAATCTTCACTCCTGCACCATGGCTGGTCAAGTCCTCTTATTTTGGGGGCACTTTGAGGGCAGGGTGGAACAACCTGTTGGAGTTGGAAGACGGGAATATGGCTCAGGTGACCTGCTACCTGTGACCTTATTCCTTCCATGCTGAGCTCACAGGGGTGCTGGGAGGTTTGCTATCACGTGGGCTAATCCATCACATTCATGGAGGAAAGGTCAGCCACATACATACAAAATAGCAACCAGACATCACTCCTAATATTTCCTAATGACTTTCTCTTGAAAGTCAGACTTGGGCTGGCCTCACCTTCCAGTGTCATCTAACTGAAGCATCATAAATGATGAGGGTCCTACTGGAGCCACCAGAGGCTGACGCAGCTGCCCTTCACTGGCTCCTCTATGAAGCTCTGTCCTCCACCTCTCCTGAGAACATCCTCTCCCCTTCAGCAGGTCTTCTAGCCACATGTCATTATTCTTGCCTTGATTCTAAAACTGTCCCCATTCTGCTTTTGCCTGATAGAGAGGGAGAAAAGTCTATTCCTTTCTTTTCTTTTCTCCCTCGCCTTTTTTTGAGTCAGGGTCTTGCTTTGTCACCCAGGCTGAAGTAGTGCAATCTTGAACTCCTGAACTCAGCCTCTCATGTCAGCCTTCCAAGCAGCTAGGACTACAGGTACATGTCTGTATACCCAGCAAACTTTTTATTAAAATTATTTTTATAGAGACAGGGCCTCGCTATGTTGCCCAGGCTAGTCTTAAGCTCATTGCAGCCTCAAACTCCTGGCCTCCAGCAATTCTTCCACCTCCGCCTCCCAAAATTCTGGGACTATAGGACTCTGTATACACCAGAAAGTCAATTTCTAAGCGCTCAGCATTCATCCAGGTGGGAGGCGTCTCTCCTCTGTGGTCACTGCCTCTGGGATGGGAGAACAGGAAAAGATGGCAGTTAATTTCCTTCCTTTCATCATGAGTCCATCTACTTTCCTTCCCATCCCACATCCTGGCCTTGCTTCCGACTACAACGGCAGCAAGCCTGCAATTAAAAGCAACCACTTTTATGAGTCATTGTTCTGCAAAAGCAAATACCCTCAATATGTTGATTTAGAAGTTTTCAGGGGAGCCACCATGAGGCCACTTGTGCAATGCCAGGCTAACTACTTTTGAAAGAGGACCGTATGCTGCCTTTACAACATCCCTTTGGTGTTTAATTTGATGAAACAATGTGCCACAATCAGCTGTGAGGACAGCAGCCGTGATTGATGGAGAGGGACTCACGTGGTCTGACTCTGATTTCAATATCACGGCGCTAATCCCATTATTCGCTTGAGTTGGCTTGTTTTGGGCTACCTTAAAAAAAGTTATTTCTTTAATGGTCAAATTGCCGTGAGGTCTGGAAGATTTAATGTATCATAAAACTCATTAAATAACCAGCCTGGCAGCCCACACTACTGAGTAGTGTGTTAGCATATGGGAGATCCTAGCTGAAGACTTCAGCATTCATTTCAGTGCCACCCAGCCAAAGCTTCCAGGGACAGGTCTGGAGCGTGTGTTCTAAGTCAGCATTCCTCCAACTTTCATGGGGGCACGAATCATCGGAGTGCTGTACGGACGTGCAGATTCTGATTCAGCAGTTCTGGGACGAGGTCCGAGAGTCTGTATTGCTGACAAGTTGATGTCCTTTCTTCTGGTCCAAAGCCCACACTTTGAACACTCGGGAACATTCGCTAGAGGATCTTGTGAATATCCAGTGACAGCAGCTAACACTTATGAACCGCACTGACTGTGCTGTAAGTACTGCATGCGTGTGTTATATGTGTTTGCTTATTGAATTTTTACTCTCAGCCTCATGAGGGAGATGTTATTATTACCTCCATCTTCTAGATGGAGAATTAAATAAATCAATAAGTCAGTAAACTAAACAACTGAGCTGAGTTCATACAGCTTATAAGTAGCTAAAATGAAATCCAAAACCATGTCCCCTGACTGCACAGCCTCTTTTCTTTTTGGTCCAACCTCTACATTACATTCCTTTTCACATAGTTCTTAGAGCACCCATTTTTAGTTAGAGAATGGCGGCTCTTTGTATAGATCTGCCACGGGCTTGTACTGGGTAAAATGATGAAATTCATCTTGAAGGCTTTAGACTTCTCTTTCTGGATCCCTTCCTCTAAAAGATCATCTTTATCACACCGGGGTGCCACAAATGCTGAATAAAGCAATATGTAGCCAAGCTGTGAGCGGCCACTGTCCTACCCTGAGCGCTGCCTGGTAGTGGCAGCCTTCTTGGCCTCTCTGGTGCTTTATGTCGAACGGGTGCTCTGGGTGAAGGGATTCTGGCAGCCTTCCTAGAAGGGAAAGAAAACAAATATCTTCTAGAGGTTTCTGGGGGGGCCTTAGGGAATCCTGGAAAACCTGTGTAAGTTAAGGCAAGTATGCTTCTCCTCCCATCTGCTGTAATTGGCATTTCTGCTCGCCATTCATTTCACCCTGGGGCCATGGTTTAAGTACAATTTTCTCAAATCAATAGATCTTTTAATGTGAAAAACGTATTGTTTTTTTTGAGACAGAGTCTCGCTCTGTTGCCCAGGCTGGAGTGTGGTGGTATGATCTCAGCTCACTGCAACCTCCTGGGTTCAAGCAGTTTTCTGCCTCAGCCTCCCAAGTAGCTGGGATTACAGGTGCACACCAACACCTGTAATTAGCCTGGCTAATTTTTTGTATATTTAGTTGAGATTGGGTTTCACCATCTTGGCCAGGATGGTCTTGAATTCCTGACCTCATGATCCACCTGCCTTGGCCTCCCAAAGTACTGGGATTACAGGTGTGAGCCGCTGCACCCAGCTGAAAGATGTATTTTTGATGTTATATTTTAAAAGATGATATAAAATAACAAATAGGTTTTTTTTTCTGCTTATTTGACTTCATAAGTAACAAAACAACAGTAACTACTACCTGGGGATTTAACTGGAAGAAAGGTAGACTTGGTAATCAATTTCTAAAATAGATCTTAATACATAGATTCATAAACATGCCTACAAGGCAAAAAGTACTTCCTTAATGTCAGTTCAGAAAACTCACTGAACCCACACAAATGCCCCATTTCATACAAATGAAACAAGAATATGTGTCAAAGATAAGCCAGTTTACAGCATTACAGCATTTCCTTTAGAATGAATGTGCTGAAGGGGAAGAACATTACTTAACTGGTGATCTGGCTGCCTGAGTTTTAACCCCACGTTATGTTAATTTGGACCTCAGCTTCCTCATCTGTAAGATAAGGGAGATTGACATCCAGACCTGATCTTAGGTGAATTAAGCGGCAGTGGGGAATGCAACATCAGCCTGAGGTTTACTGATCGGGTAGCTCATTCAGCCACAACCGTTACCCTCAGTTTTCAACTGGGCTTTTTAGATGCGTCATAGAACACTATGTTTTTCTGCTTCAGCCGGTTGCAATTGCTTAGAAACCTCATAAGAATGTATATATGTGCGCGCTCACACACACACACACACACATATTCCTTTTTTATTTTTTTGAGACAGGATCGCGAAGGCTGGAGTGTCGTGGGACAATCAGGGCTTACTGCAGTCTCAACTTCCCCGGGCTCAGCTGATCCTCCCACTTCAGCCTCCCAAGTGGCTTGGACTACAGACACTTATCACCATGACTGGTTACTCTTTCTATTTTTTTGTGGAGAAGGGCTTTTACCATGTTGCCCAGAGTGGTCTCAAACTCCTTGGCTCAAGGGATTGCCTGCCTCAGTCTCCCATAGTTCTGAGATTACAGGCATGAGCCAACGTGCTTGGCCTCTACTTATTTGTATATTTTTTAGTAAGGAAAATATTTACATATATTTGATTGCTGGACTAGGCATTGTGTGACACATAAATTATCCATTACAGTATTAGCCTGAGATACTGTTCTCCCCATTTTACAGATGGGGTGGGGAAGCTCAAAGTGGTTAAGAGACCTGCCCATAGTCACGGGGAGGCTGAGGCTTTACCAGCATGAAAATCTATGCATGTAGGTCAACAGCATTTCCTTCCACAGAGACCTGTGCGCCACGCCCATCCCTTCCCACTAATGATGCAGCTTGCTAGCTTGCTTTAGCCTCAGCTCTTTTCTAGAGCTGGAAAGCTTTGTATTTTAGCCTATAGCATGCTATTAAACAATGCTTTCCATCAGCAGCCTTTTTTTTCTCATAAGGAGTGAGACAATAAAGAGCCCAAAGTATTGATTCATTTCTCGTCAACTCTTGCATGGAACTTGGGTCGGCTTTAGTCTCACTCCCCTCTGCGTTCTTTATAATCTTGTGGATTGTATGGAGAAGTCTGCCCCAAACAGATGACCTGATTATTGAAACCCCTGCATTTTCTATGGCTTTCCCTTGTAAGGGAATCACTGCACTGTATAATCCATAGGAAAATGCCACTTCTCGAAGCATATTTCTCCAAAAAGATCTCACCAAACACATACATTTTCTTAAGCTGAAGTTTTTCATCATTCCTGGCCTCTGTCTTTGACATGCCCAAAATATGATGATGTAGCAAAAAAAAAAAAAAAAAAAAATTTAGGTTTGATGGGAAAGGAATGAATTTTAGAGGAAGATGTTTGCAAAGTTCTGGGAGTGGTAAGGAGAAATGGAAAATGGAGAGAGACCACTTGGATCTGTTCTGTGGGCAGCCGCGGTGTTGTTTGCTATGGAGTTGTTTGTAACTTTCTCTCCCATTCCCATCCTCAGATTTAAATGACCAATTTTGGCATAAGGACTCACAGGTGCAGAACATTCTATAGGCTTGGACGACGTCATAAAAAAACGATTCAATCATATCTGGGACGAAGGCTGTCCCACTTATTCTCTCTCGTAGTCTAACGCTCTTGCTTTATTCAGATTTCCAATAGCCGACTGTCATTGACTTTGTACGCTTATGCATTAAGATTATGCTTATTGTTTGGAACACTTAATGCTGCAAATTACCCCTGCAAGACTTAAACACTGATAGGAGAAAAGGTTTTAAGGAATGTTGGAATTCACTCATAACTGCTACTTGCAAAGTTTCCAAAAGGTCTGATTTTAAAAAATTGTTGTTAGCGTGCGTAGAAAGACATGATCACGAACTCACTGAAATAGGAGAGCAACTCCTAGTTTGTCAAGGAGTTTGGTTACCCTGGGAATGTACTTTATGAAGAAGAAAAGAGCTCTTAATTCAAAGACTTTGGGTCATGCTTGAGGTTGAAAAAATTATTGTCTATTGCCTTTTTCATTTGTTCTCTAGAAATCAATAAAAATATATGCTGTCACTCTTGTCCCTGTCTACCGCTGTGCCTCAGTTATAATACAGCAAAGAGTTATTTAACCTAACCCAGACTAAATATTATCACATCGAGAAATCGCATGGTGGAAGTATTATCCTTCCTTCCTACAGAGCATTCTCTCTCAGTGATTTTTGTATTAGTTTTCTTTAGT